TCTCTGTCCCTCTTTTCTTCCTCTCAGATATAGGAGCCACACGTGAATGCTCTCTGGCCTTTGGTCCCAGAGCCATTTCCTCTATACCTATGTCACCTTTGAACATTATCAGCACACTTCCTTCATGAACAGAGGCACAAATCCCCAGCAGCTAGAGCAAATGCCCTTAAAGGGTGCTGAAGTGGAAGTTGGATTTCCCATGTCCCAGCGCATGTGCACATTTTCGTATCTGGAGTATGATTGGACTAGCCAAGCACGGCTCTTCCTAATAACCTCGGTGTGTAGAGTTTGTGATTTCACTTCTGATGCCTATTGGCTGAACTCATTGAATTTGTGTGAACTGCTGGGCTCTGGCCTTTCAGATGGCCCCGCAAATCAAGTATGTTTCATTGTTGGTTCACGGCAGAACTGAAGGTGCTTCTGTGAGGAAAATCTTGAAATTTATTTGGGAAATGTTTTCTAACACTCATCCAAGATCTTCACTTTCCTTTGGGTATGCAGCTTGACTCTATCCCAGGAACAGCATTTGACACAGTTGATTATTCCTTCCTTCTTGAAACACTCTCTTCTCTTAGCTCTAGGACACTATACTCTCCTGGTTTTTGTTTTTTTTTCTTACTTGTCTGGCCACTCCTTCTCAGTCTCCTATGCAGCCTTATCTTCCTCTACCCACTCACTAAATACTGCAGACCCTCACGTCTCTAAGCCTACTTCTCCTTCCCTCTTTATTCTCTCCCTGGGTGACTTCATCCACCCCCATGATTCAAACACCATTTATGTGTATGTGACTCACACATTTTTACCTCCGGTTCAGACCTCTTTTCACAGCGCCATAGCAGCATTTTCAACTGCTACTTTTCTAGAGTATCTCTCAAGCTCAAATTGCCCCAAACACACACGTTTTCCCTCTAAAGCTATTCTTTTTTCTTTTTTAAATAAGGTTTATCAAGGTATATATATTAAAATTCACCCTTTTTAAGAATACAGTTGGATGGGTTTTGAAAAACGTATGCAGTTGTGTAGACACCACTACAATCAAGATGTTGATCATTTCCATCATCCCCCCCCCCAGTTCCCTCAGGCCTTGGCAACCACTGGCCATTGTAATATTATTGAAACCATGTTGACGATTTAAGGAGGAGAAAATGAACATATTTACATCATTGAGTCTTCTCATCAAGGGGCAAATTGTGCCTCTTTGTTCATTAATATTTCAAAATTGTTTTCCAAAATTTTAAAATTTTCTTCTTATGGATCCTGAATCATTATTGCATTTATTCTATTTATTACAAATTGTATGACTATTGTGAATTTAATAATCTTTTCATTATATTTCCTGTATGGCTATTATGATATATAGTAAATTTATTGATTTTTATATATTTATAACTAGAAAATGATTAGATACATAAAACACTCAAAAGAGGGTATAATTTTAGATGTACTGGTTGGCAAAATGGTCGGGGCAGAAAGATCTAAAACTGTCCTATTCTTTGTTTATCTCTTGTGGCGTTATTTGCATCCCAGAGGCACCCTCCGGGATTGAGTCTCCCTATGTAGCCACATCTATATCTAGATATATATCTATATCTCTATATATCTGTCCCTCGTACTTAGGTATTCAAAAGATGTTGGATTAATCAATGCATCAGTGACTGGCTGCCCTAGAGCTGTGATCCTTCCTGCTTCGGACAGGGCTTTCTGCATGGATGCGGGGTGGTGCCTTCCACACTTGCAGCGGCAGGGGCCCAGTAGTTAGGGGAGAACCAACTGAGGCAGCAGAGAGAAAAGCAGCAGGGGAAAAGCGACCCATCCAAAGGCTTGACCTGTAAAGCTATTCTTTTTCAGTTGTTTCTTGAACGCTTAAACAGCACCATCATCTACCTTCTTATGAAAACCAAAGACTTGTAGTCTTTGACCCTTATTCTCTGTCTTCAATCCATCAACAGGTTTTATTTATATCTGTTTCAAGTAGTTATCTGTTTTATTGCATCTTTCTATCTCCGCTGCCATCACCTAAGTCCAAGCAACTATCATCTCCCACCTAGATGCCTGCAATGGTTTCACAATTCGTCTCTCCAATCCACTTTGGTTCCATATTGAAACTGGAGTGATCTGTTGGAAATACAAATATGACCATATCATTGCTCCATGGGAACCACTTAAATGGCTCCCTATGTTTCTTGGGGTAAAAACCAAAAATTCTTGTTGTGGCCTATAATTTTCTGCGTGGACTGGCCCCTGCTGCCCTCTCCAGCTTCTCTCTCTATTCACTTTCCTATTATGCACTTTCCAAGTGGCGTACGCCTCTCTGTTCTCATCCTTAACAGAATTAAAAGCTTCCTATTATTGATTCTTGGTTCATTAATCCTATCTCCTGAGTACCACCCACCACTGGTTGTAGGCTCTTTGAAGGCAGGAATTGTTTCTCTTTGCTCGCCACTGTTTAACCAAATGCCTGACGTATAGTGGGTGCTTGTGATTATTTATTGAACAGTGTGAATCCCATTGAACCACGCTAACAACAGTATTCCTAGGGTAATAAGATCCTCTTTAGGGCTCCTTTGCTTTTGTATCCCCAGTCTCTAGAATTGGATCTCCTAGCAGGCATTAAGTAAAGTTTAGCTATGCCAATGAGTGAATGCTCCTGAGCCAACACTTCCTCTAAATCCAAATAAAAAAGACTGACGCTATTGAGGAAATTATGGTCTGAGGTGTTCAGCTTACTTTATGTTTGGGATGCAGTGGACTTGCCATGTCTCACAAATCATGTCTCCAAACTGGGAAATGGGGGTCATGTAGGGGCTACTCAGAACCAGCCCCCACTCTGGAATGTGAGATCAACCTTGCCAAAGAGGCGGTTGGCCAGCTCTCCCGGGAACTCTCTGGGCTGTAGATGGGCAGAGCCTGCTCAGACAGCCCTGAGATTTATGAGCTGGTCTTACCTTTAGCTGGTGAGGGGAAATAAATAAAGTCTCTCATTCGTAAGTCCTTACAGGAGAAGGATCTCTGATCCCATATACAGCATAGTTGGTACAGCACATGGGTGCTTGATAGCAAATGAATGAATGAATAAATGAAGCAAAAAACTGTGGTTCACTCACCTTTATATCATTTAATAATCACCTGTTAAGCAACAGTTATGAGGAGGGAGGCCTATGCTAATATAAGTGGCATTAGAGAAATGAATAGGATGCACTTCTTGTTCTTGAAGACTTGCCTTCTCACTAGGGAGATTTGACTAAGTAAACCCAGCTTGTTTAAGTTACAAGAGGGTTTCAGGAAAGTGCTCTGATAGAGGAAACACTTGATGCTCTTAAACAAGAAGAGGGGCTGCATCATTGTGCTGGAGGGCTATCCTTAAACATCAGTAAGCTTGGGGAATCAGAATCATGGCTTATGGGCATTAGCATCCCTTCAACTCAGCTGAGTTATGTGAACACATGGCTGAAAAAAGAGAAACTCCATTTGGTTCCATGAGAACAAATGTGTGTGGGCAGAGATGTCATCCCTTCAGCTAAACATTGAACAACCACAGACATTAAGGGAACACCGATTATGAGCCAGGCTCTGTGCTAACATGAGGAAACAAAGATAAAGGAGGCATGATCTCACCCCTAAGGAGCTTGCAGACCAGTGGAGGAGACAGATGGGGAAACAAATAACTAATAATATCGGTACATCAAGATGTGTGCAAAGTGTTACAGAATATTGTCAGAATTTAGAGAAGAGAGAGGAGCTCTCCCAGAGGTACAGGCAACCAGAGAAGATGCAGTCACTGATGAAGGATGAGCTGGTGCTGATGTGGCAGAAAAGTAAGGATGGGTCAGGAAAACGGTTCTTTGGATTTAAGCTACCTCACATAAACATGGAATCATTGGGAATAGGAAGGGCAGCAGGAAGACATTCACTTAGGGTGCTGGTGACCCCTGGACCACTCTCCAGAAGAGTTCACACAGGTGTCTGGAATGAGAAGTTGCCTCTGATCCCTGGTACATTGCATGAAGAAGCCGGGTTTAGACATTCTTTGGCTACTTACTTTGGCTATGACATTAGCAGAATGGTTGTTTTGGAGGAGGAGGACTGAGGAGCTAGGGGCCTTGAAAGTTGAATTCATGGTTTCTGACTACTGAGGCCTAGACTCAGAGTCAGAAATCTTGTGGAATCCTGACCCTGACCTTTATCAGCCGTGTGCCTTTTAGCAAGTTCCCTTGATTTTCTCATCTGTAAAATGGGAAAATCAATATTTACTTTTTTGAATGTTAGTGAGGACTGCCCAAGCTAGATCCATGAAATGGCCCAGCACAGAGCTGAGGATGTAATAAATGCCCAGTTCCCTGCCTTCCTCTACCTGGAATTGAGTCAGTGAGTTATTTCCTAGCAGAACATGTAGCACCAACACATTAAATTCCAAAAATGGAGCTAGTCAGATATAAATGTTTTCTGAAGCCAAGGCAATTCCTTTAATACACTAAATTTCTACCCCACCATTTATTTCATATAAGGCATGAAACAAAAACTTTATGTTTTTATCTTTAAAAATCTAGTGATTTTAATTGTGTTGCCTTAACATAAAGCTGTTGTTTTCACCATATACCTGAAAGAATAAAGTAGGGTCTGGAATAATTCCATGAACCCAAGAATTGAACTATAGTTTCGTGGTTTGATCTAGGGACCAAGCAATATGAGGGATAAAATCCTCCAATTGATCTCGCTGGAGGATAAGGATGCCCCAACACAGCAGTCGTGTAATCTTAGGCAACTCACTTAATGTCTCTGCACCTCAATTTCTTCATCTGCAAAAAAGGATATAATAATGATCCCAACCTCACAAGGGATTAATCCTCAAAAGGTTTACCTGGGACAATCTGTATAATGCCCTTAGCACAGTGCCTGGCACATAGTTAGCGCTCAAAAAATGGAAGCAGTTGTCATTAGAATTATCTCCCCACACATGTCAGCCTTTTCAACATCTTTCTCCTTCTCCTTTCCAATCCAAGGTGCCTCCACCCAGAATTCGAACACCGTGGAGCCAGAGAAGCAGGTGGACAGCACCGTGAAGATGGCCGGCGTGATCGCTGGTCTCCTCATGTTCATCATCATCCTCCTGGGCGTGATGCTCACCATCAAAAGGAGGTGAGTCTCTGTTGCTGCCCTGCAGACTCCACCAACCGCAGGTGGCCCCAACACTGGTGCGTGGCCAAGTCCTTGCTCTGTTGATCACTTCCAAGCAGGGACCTCCTGATATGATTACGGAGGTCCTGAAATACATGGGTCAGTTGTGGCTCATCGTGTTGGTGTCTGAAGGATGTGTGCTGCCTGCATGGCGAGTGGCCCTGAGAAGGCCAGGTTCTTATGGGGCCAGCAATCCCTACGGTTGGGTCGCCTTGATGTGCCCTGGGATCCCATGTATCATGAGTCTTCACAGAGTTAGCTGCTCTCTTGTGATTGGTCATGCCATCGAGATTACGGGGAGCCCCAAGAACACAGAGGAGCCCAGAAATACAGATGCAAGAAAGTAATGCTTCATCCTTCTCACCTTCATTCATCCTTGATTTCCCTTTGGTCAAGAAGCAACATCCCAGGCTGCCCTCTGCATGACAGGAATAAAGCCTCCAATGCTGTGATAGTCTACAGGGGAGGCTCCTTCCTACTCCATGTCCCACAAAACCTTCTCAGCTGGATTATTGTTGCTTCTCACCTCTCCACAGGATGTCTCCCTGGGTACTTCTGGTCAACTAACACAGTTTTCTCATATTGCGTGTGTTTCTTCTGGACTGTGTTGCTCATGAAAGCCAGGGTGCAGATTCCTCCCTTATTTCCGAGATTGCCTTCTTCTGTTTATCAGATGTTCACGAGGCTTGAGGATAGAGATTACAGAGAAGGGGATTACAGAGAAGGAAAAGAATGATGGGGGGAAAGGGAAAACTGATGAATATCAGTATAACTGGCCCTAGGATGCGCGGTTATTCCTCTAAACAGAGAGTCCTACTGCCCACCTCTCCTTAGCCCCTGGGCTGCCAGGGCCCCAGTATTGGTCTCTACCTTCCCACTCCCTAGTCTGCCAGAGCAAACAAACATTTATCCACATTATAATATGTGCTGCAACATGCCCTGCCCTCAGTGAAAAGAGCCTACTACAAACTACTTAAGACCTCAGCCTGAAGCTCTAGGTTTGGTTACTCACAGAGTTCAGGACAAGCCCAATAACAAGGACCAGGGACTTGCTTCCAACTGTAGGATGAAAAGTGCTTATGAAATTTGTTCCCTAGCAGAACAAAGGGACCGAATGCCTCAAAGACAAATTTCAGCTTCTGTCAAGGGATACACATGAATATAAATGCAGAAAGTTAAAGAAGAAAAAAACAAAACCAATGTCCTCGTTTCCAGCCATCAGTGAGTCAGAAATACTGGGTCCCCATTATACAGCAGTCAGCCTTCTCTTAGCCGTTTCGGTGCCAGAATGTCCCTGTGTCTCTCATCATTCTGTTCTGAATCAGCCCAGTGCTCCCTCTGACCAGGACATCTTACTGGCAGGACTTTGTCCTTTCTTGACATCTTTGGTCTAACAGGATCACTCCTTTCCTCAGGCTCTCAGCAGAATGACTGAAAAGTTAAAGTTCTCATCTAGCTACTGATTTTCTGGTCGGAGCGTCTAGGAGGAAGGTACTATGTTAATATCGGGAATCTAGAGCCCCCAAGGGATTAAGGACAGCACTGCGTTGTCACATCATCATCATCATCCATAAAACAGGGTCGAATTTTATGTCTCAGTGATGAGTCAGCTGCTATTAGATGAGGTGGAAGATAAGGTTTGCTTTCTCTGGGAGCAGTAAGCACATTGCGTATATAAGATCCTGTTTCTTAGAGTCACAGACGGATTGGAGGCATAGGTGAGTTTGCGATTGTCTACCTGGAAAAAGTAACCAATTTAATAGAATTGCATTCCTCTTTGATAGGCCTGAAAGGTTCTCATTCTTTGCCACTGATTTGTAAGTCAGATATGCTCTCCCAATTTTGCTCTTTCTAAAGCCTTGGCTTAACCCACAGCACCATTGTCTGTGAGCTTGCAGAGAAATTTCACTTCCTTCTCCACAGCTATTTCTAAAATGCATGACTTTTTGAGAGGGAGGAAAGGGCTTTCTGTTTCCAGGGTGGGAGCAAGTACAAAGTGAGTCCTTTTTGTGGTTTTAGCCTCTTCTGCGTATCTTCATCATCTCTATCAAAATCATGCATCAGACCCAACCAATAGTTGTCGCATGATCACCATTTCTCCCCAAGAGGCAAAACTCAAGTTGTGGCACTGTGGTGTTTTTTGGGGGGTGGGGAGGAGGTGCTGATCAGTGTTTGCAAATACAGTATATTTTGGAGAAAATAAGACATTTTGCTGACCTAGTTGATAGTAACAATTTATAGTAATAATTTACAGATGGGTATAGAGGAAGGAAAAGGGAGAAGAGGAGGGTAGAGGAGAGGACAAGAGAGGAGAAAGGGGGAGAAAGAGAGAAGATAAACATAAGCCTGCACTCTTTCCACTAAGCTACAATGTCTTCTGATGTCTAGAGATGCCCCCAAAGACAGTGAAGGGCTTAGTGAGCTCCTTTACCTCTTCTGACCCCAATCCCATATGTAAATATGAGGAAAACTTCATTGGTCAATTGAGTCTTCCACTAACTTACTTACTGCCAGAATGCTGTCCACGGCTACCTAAAATGAAGTATTAAAGGCAAAGAAACCCCCAAATAATAGACAAATCATCACAACTCATGATCATAGTTTCAGCATCTCTTCAGTGTCCCATCATGACCTAGAGTTAGTTCCCAGATCCAGGAGCTCTCAGAAGTGAAACACAAGCTACACGCCCCCCAACCCCAGCTTGAGCTGGGTTTTCTGCTAACCTCCACGGGCATGGGTGTGGTGGCTCCCTGTTTTCTCTGCTCCTAATGGATTCAACTGGCTCAAAGTCTTCCTCAAAGCTGTGGCCAAATGTTTCCAATACACATAAGATGTCCCTAGCTTCTCCCCTTGAAGTGTTCTCATCATTGGCCTTAGGGCTTCCTTGTCACTCTCGAAAGAGAGTCTTTCTCTTGCTGTTAGGTGTTTTGTTTTGTAATACTGAACTAGAAAGCAGGCAGAGAATGGGCTAGAGATATGAAAGACCAAGAGAAGGGCTTAATGAAAGAAGCTAAATTGGTTTACATTCAGAAGACTGGGGAGGAAAAGAGAGAGGAGAGGAGAGAGAGAAAAGAAAAAAAAAAAGAACAAAGCCTGAGGGACGTTCTGTTGTTGTTACTAGGATGTTTTGTAATAGGTGGAGGGGATCTTGAGAAATGAAAGATTGCAAAAAGGGATATGATATGTTGGGGCAATTCAAACAAGATTCCTTTACAGTTTACAAAATATGCAAGGTTAGAATTCTTTTTGGAGTACCTTTGGTTGCTTGGACTGGGCCTCTTTGAACGCAGGACTATACAGAATCAGGGCTACATGGGGATACAGAGGATTACATGAGCATTATAAGAAGGGAACGTGGTGCCCGCCTCGCCCCCTGATAGGGTAAAATCAGTGTGGTTTTAGCCAAGCTCACTGCAAAATATTCATCCTTCTACTGTCACTGGATAATGGTGCCATCTTTTTCTCCTGGATCTATTGATCACTTCTAGACTTCAGAATGTTCTAGAATGGGTTCCTGCATTCCATTATGTAGTAGAACATACTTCCTTTTCATGAGCACCCTGTTGGGTCTTGAAATAGAGAGAGACTCTCATCACTCACTCCGCACTGCAGTCCTGGTCATCTTCTGTGGTCTCCTCCCTTTAGAATTCTTGGACATCCTCTCCCAAAGGAATGGGCAGTCAAGCAATTGCTAGGCCACCCCTATGGTTCCTCCACTTAATACCATAGGGCACTGGGTGCCTGCAGTGCAAACTGAGGTGGAAAGCTCAAGCTTTAGTGCCTTAACCAGTGTATCCTGATGTTTGACAGTGATTATTAGCCACTCACATATGAGAAGTTCTGCATTTTAATGTTTGTTTGTGGGATGTGGGCGTATGTGCATATGCCCACAAGCTGCATATAGTCCAGTTTATTCCATGGGACACACTTCCGGGAGTCTGAGCATGGTCTTTCAAGGCTTAAGGCATAGACATACACTTTTGTATGGGGAAACACTGGAGCCAGGTTAAGTGGGATTCTTTGGTAGATCTGCACCCCAAGAGTTGTCTGGATCCTACATTAATCTCTCCATCCTTCTTACTTCTCAAGTGAGAATGGGGCAACTTTTAGGGAGATAGTTTCAAAGTCAGTAACCATGCGTGGTTCCAGCCACCCCCATCTCCTCTCCTCCTCCTTCTGCCCAAGTCTTCCTGGTCCAGCTTGAACTTTCTGCCAACCATGCTTCGCCTGTCCAAATAGTAACATTTCCAAGAGTGTATTTGGAGTGTCTTGAGTTTGAGATATGATAATCTAAGATATCTCTGCATTTCTGGCTGTACTTTGATTTCTCTTTGATTTGCATCTGCCCTCCGGTAGCTCTCAGTCTAATGGGTAGAGATGTCTTGTAGCTGTGGACTGGGAAGCAGAAAAACTGGATCCAAATCTCTACAGTCCCATTTATTTGCTGTTCACCTTGGAGAAGCAACTAAACAAATGTCAGCCTTTGCTTTTTCAATGGTGAGATGCAGCCGATCTCCTGGGGCTGTTCTGAAGATCAAATAAGCTAATGGTTGTGACAGGCTTTATTTCTTGTACCTGCCCAAGGGATTAGAATGCACAATGTCAACAGGGACATTCATCTCATGCATGACCATCAACAGTACCAAGCTAGCTCCAAACCCATCACTAATATGCCAAAGGCAGTGCTGCTATCAATACACACACTCTGACCTAACTGATTTGTTCATTTTATATTTAAACTGCTGCCATATTCTGATTTTAATCCTACAAATAATCATGATAGGGTAGAACTGTCAATACTGCTGTTTTTTGAGACGATAAAACTGAAGTTCAAAAAGGTTATATGAGTTGGCTATGGTCTTGGGCAGTGAAATGCAAACCCAGGCTCTGTGACTCCAAACCCTATGTTGTTGACTTCTATTCTATCAGTCCATAGAGACTGGTAGAAAATAAGTGAATCC